TGTAGTGAATATTTTGGCTTAAGTTATATTTATTTACTTGATTAAGTATCATGTTTGATGATTTTGCTATAGAATTTGACAATGCCAGCTTTTGTGTTACATTTTGAAATTACAAAACATTAAATGGGGTTTTTTTAAAAAAAATTATTTCATAAAACTATCATTAGTTAGTTTTTCAGGACTTAAATTGCATCTTTTATTTAATTTAAATTACATAATTCATTCCTTGTGTATCATAAACTTCCCACCTACTCTTAATTTTTTTCATCAATAAATAATAATAATAATGTTTTGGTTAAATGAATTGGTTTGATTTGTTAGTTATGCTTTTTTTTTTCATTTGTTTTGTTATTATAATAATTGTATTAATAATAATAATAATAATAATAATAATAATAATAATAATAATTATTATTATTATTATTATTATAGCTGATCTTGTGGATTATTTTTTTAAATATTTTATTAAGTTGATCTGTTGGTTGAGCTGCTTTCGGAAGCTGTTGAAGTTGTTAAGATTGCTGAAATGATGATGGATGCGACTGAGCTCTTCCCAAATCTTTAGACAATGTCATTTTTACTGTTGAACATTATTATTATTTTCTAATTATCACATTATGTTAATGATTTTTTTCTCTTATGGTGGCAGACATTTTTAGATTAAAAATTTAGGCCATCAATAAATTTTCATTGTCCGTCACTAATTTCGAAGCACGACACATATCTCAATATAATATTTTGAGCAATGGATGTTCAAATCTTGATAAAAAAAGTCATACAGAAATCTAATTTTAGCAAGCTTATAGTCGAACTGATCAGCTCGATGAGAGGAACCTAATGACAATAAAGTTAGTCAAATTCGAGTCAAATTAAACATGGATCAAGTCATTTAACCTCTTTTGGAAGATTTTCGGACACATTTGGAAGGTTAAACGGATGTTGACTCTAACAAGTTCATGGTCGAATCGAGCTTCTCGACAAGACGAATCCAACGAGCCCGAGATCACTCCATTCGACACCATTAAGGGATCTAAATGTCTATTAAACACTGTTTGATTGAATGAAGATATCATGACTATTCAATCAAAATGATTTATATTCTACATTAATTATACTCAAAATACTATAAATAGAGTCCCACCCCTTTCATAAGAGAGAGCTTAAGTCTAGAGTGAGAGAGAGCTTGAGGCATTGAGAAGAAGCTGCAGCTCAACGTCACGGCCGATAGCCGTCAACCACTGCCGACTACCGCCAACCATCGCTGACAGTCGTCGACCACCGCTGAATTCCGTCACCAACCACATATCGTTGTCGACCACTGCCTACAATCGTTGATCACTGCCGACCACCGTTTGACCACTGCCGACCACCGTCCGTCGACCACCGCTGACCGTCGTCAACCTCTGCCAACCGTCGTCAACCTCTGCCAACCGTCGTCGAGCACCACTAACCACCAATTATCATCAATAATCACAAATAAAATGCCGTCAAGTCGACACTTATCATTTCCCGCTTGTAGAACAAGGGGTTTCTGTAATAATCAACCAATAGTGAATTTTCGAAACTGGGCCAGACCCGACGGTTTTTCCCTTTACCGTTTTTCCACATAAAAACTTCTGGCATCATCCTCGGTTATTCTTATTTCACCTGAGTGTGCGTTGAATTCTCGTGCAATATGAGACGACATCCTATTACTCTACCGCCGCAAATTTTCTAGCTACCATCAAAACTATTGAACATATTCATCCTCTTATTTTGTAAAAGTTATTTAGACACTCTCATTAATATGCTCGCATGAAAAGCAATAAATTATTCTATAACATATTTTGAGGGTTGTTGTTTTTCTTTTTGAAAAGATGAGAGCGGTGCAGGAGTAGAGATGTAAATTTAGATAGAGGATTAATTGAAAATTTGATAAACTTTGATTTAGAAAGAGTTTTATTTCTTATTATTTAAAATCATATAAAAATAATTTTAAAAGGTCTCAAAAAATTTTAGGAACGTTTTGAATATTTTTTAAAAATAATTATACCTTAATCAAATATATCAATTCAAATTAAAATATTACTAAAATAAAATAAAAATAAAAAATAAAAAATAAAAGTGATCCGAGATGGCCCCGAAAGTATAACAAAATTTGCTCATCTTGTAACCAAATCAAATGATTCCAAATCAATTTTAGGTCGGACTCGAGTTGAATGGTTGCCTTTTATATGAGAAAATTATAATCTATTTAAAAATTAAGTAGAATAATTTTTAAAAATTATTAATTTTCCCACAACAGCTTTACAATACATCAAAAACAACGGCTGTCCAAGGAGAAATTATTGCATACGGACACCGCATGCATCTCTGCATGCGGTGTCCGATCCTGACCGTAGATCACAGTGATCTACGGTCATGATTATTTTAGTTTTTTTTTTAAATTTAGGTGAGGCCCACCGAAATACATCCTAGCCGTAAATCACCTGATTTACGGTCAGGATCGGACACTGCACTCAAGATCCATATAAAATAATTTTTGTAAATATGTACGTTTATTCTCATGAGTAACCAAAAGGGCCGTTCAATTGTTTGTAGATACAATAGACTCCATAGAAAATGATGAGATGTGATTATCTAACATTTAATTGAATGTAATTAAGAATTAGGATGAACTTCTTGCTCCATAAACCATCCAATTATGATAATTCACATACAAAACTGGTGAATGAAAAATATTATTTTTAAAATTTCTATTAATGTACACACCAATATTGTCGGCACAAATCTTAAAGCAATCAAATGGCTAAAATGATGGCACAATGATTGAGGCATTTAATTCAAGAAACATGGACTGGACCGACTATCTGAAAGATCCACCATCGGTGAATCTAGTCGACGGGTCTATCTGTTGTCCAAATCGCTGAAGCTCTTTAAAAGTCGGTCGAACACAACCGGTCGATTGACTGCACGTACCTTGGCAAAAACGACCTCCACTAGGCCCGTCGCTTAGATCGACGAACCAAAACATGTCTACCAACTTATTATCGACACACTCAAATTCAAATTGTAATATAAATATAGTATGAAATCAACACATTGATTCCATTAAGGATGGTTTCCATAATCATTTTCTCCTTTCTTTAATTGTACAAGAAGACCTCCTATAAATAGGAGGCTCAATGATGAATAAAGGGACCTTGAGGGTCTAAGGATTTTTTTCCGACCTATCTGGTGAGAATTTACGAATGTCTTCCAACTCTCTCTCTACTCCTCCTTCTCCCAACTCTAAGGCATGTATTTCTAAAGGACAATTTCATATTCAATAATTAAAAAACTTGAAAGTTTTTTTTTTATTATTGCTATTTTTATTTTCTTTTTTCTCCCCAAGAAGAACACTTGGATATTCATATTCCAGGCAAGTCAAAGTAATACCCAAAGCTAGGCTTGACTGGATTATGGACTCTAGAAATGAAATTCCTCTTATTTTCTCCTGTAATGACATTCCAACCACACCTTACTAAAACTTTATTTTCTGTACAATTCAGTATTTAGACTGGACAATCAATTATCATTCAATAAACGTCTAAATAGATGATTATGTATTAGTTCTATTATGCATAAGAATGTAAATAAATATGATAATATAACTTTTAGAGGCAATCAGATGATTAAGAAGAAAAAATTAGATAAAAATAAGGAATAAAAATTTAATGAATGATTATGTTAGAGGAAATCCTAAAGTGATATATATATATAAACTAAAATCCCACGTTTCACGCACTTTTGCTCCTGCACGAGACTATATCGAAATGAGTGTCCTCCCTAGCTAAATTTGACGTACCGGAAGCACCAACGCGGTTCGTATCATCATCTGGGGTCGCTCGGACGACTTTGTCGATGGTCGGGTTGAAAACTCGTCAAATTCAAATTTCTTTAAAATTCTAGCTTGTGATCGATCGTTCCAGCAATTAATTCGAGTTTGATTAATCCTGAGTCTTCTACGGGCGCGGTGATGTGGATTTCGATAATTATGTGCATCGATGCGTGAATTGTGGTATTCGTGCATCGAACACGCGTGGAGGTTGCAATAGGTTTCTTTTGGTTTCAGATCCTATGGGTACTTGACTCGAGCTTCGTCATGCTGATTTTAGTCGACTCAACTAAACATTGAGGATTTAGGACAGATGACATGTAACTGTGAGGAGTCAAGAAGTGGCTTGAATTTCTAATTGGTATTGGACCCAATGCTAGTCCTCTAAGATAGTCGGTAGGAAACCTTAAGGCTAGATCCTGGGCTATAAGAAGAGTAAGAAACTTTACCAAAAACGAGGTCAACAACGTATTGCCTTGATTCAACAAAGGATGAGATTTTGAATTTTGCATGTTGTTTCGTGCCCAAGATTTCTTGGAAGGTGTTCTCCAACTAAGACTTCCTCTCCGCCTTTATGTTTATGCCTCCTTTTTGGAATGAGGTGGAGGACTCACTGTCCAAATAGTAAGTTTCACCGTTATCACGCCGCTCTATCGGGGTCACAAATTGTCTTCTCCATAGAGACATGTTAGATGATCCAGTGGGTAGTTGGACTCGAGGAGAAACCTTTGGAAGTTGCTCCATGACCTCTCTTATCATTCAATTTACCTTGTTCTCAATATCAATGAGTTGTTGAGTTATGAACTCTATTGTGTCATCTATTTTTATTGAAGGTTCTACGTTATTATAGTCAACAAATCTAGGATCCTCTTCTAAATTGTGGCATATCCATGCTCATTGCACCTAAACATATGTTAGATCAAAACATGTCTGGGCAGACACATCACTTATATGAGAACTAGGGACATAAAGAGAAGAGAAAATGGGTTATAAGTTAAGAGTTAGAAAGTGTGACGAAAACTAAGGCTATGCACATATTATTACTAGTATAATCTCTTTATTGTATAGATTGCAATGATTTTTTACCGGTAATCCCTACTTATCTGTAATGGGTATCCCAATCAAATATATAAAGGGAAAGATTACAAAATCGATGATAATGTTCGACACCAAGGCATATCTTATGGTGCATACTAAATGGTAATGTCACACTCGATATTTGCACAATATGATGAGTCAATGAGCAAGCAAGTTACCAAATTCATTGAATTCGTGTGTAGGGCTCGAGCCAGTTCTCAGAAGAGCTCATAGTTATATCTTTGCTAGACTTTTCATGCTGCTATGAAGAGCTGTTGTGACTTGTGGATGTTGTGCCTAACGATTTGGCACCTACGTGGATCGAGTTCGAATTGGCCCGTTGATTACCTTTGTGAGTTGGTATAACTCGATTTGTCATGAACCTGCCCATGAATTGATTTCGCCGGTTGGCAAGTCTAACTTGATCTATCAAATTTTTGGGTGTATGAACATATAGACTAAAGGATAGAAAAAGCACTAATCAGAAAAGTTGATAATTAGAGTAAAAAAATTATGAAGCAAAGGTGTAGACCTAAGATTACTTGGTTGAAGAAGGATTACATAATTGTTAAAAGTAATTTGCGAATAGGCTCAACATCTTAAACAACCCCCAACAATAACAAATAAAAAATTAGGATTCCTAACACCGAATTCATGAGAATTTGAAATAAATGATGCTTCTATTAACAAATTGAATTGTTATTTAAAAACATGATCACTTAATCCTCGCTAAAAAAAGGCAGAAAAAGAAAATTGTGGGCCTGAAGGCCACAGCCATAGACTAAAATCTGCTGCTACTGCAGCTTTTACCACAGCCACAAGGATCGGAATTTTAACCATTTACCACATAATGATCCAGCTGAAACGAATAAGATAGAAAGAGAGAATAAAATTCACATAATAATGACTAAAAGCTGAGAATGTTCCAACTCAGTACCATATATGGAGGTAGAGGAGCTACCAAGTCAAGCATATCAAGTTCTGCCAGGTTAAGCTTTGTTGCCGATGATGGCTCCAGATGCCGGCCTGCTTCGGCGATGTTTGGCAGGATCAACTGGTGGCAGTGAAGATGCAAGCGAGGCTGCTTCTCAGATATGCTTCCACTTTCGAAGTCGAGACCAAAAGGATGTTTTTCTTTGGGGAGCTTTGAAGTTCTAGCTTCTACAATAAGCTCCCATTTCTTGTGTGCATGCCAGCCATACTTGTAATCACCAACTATAGGCGTTTTGAGAACTTCAGCACAGTGGACTCGTAGCTTAGTTTGTTCAAGTTGGGAAAAAAGGTAGAGGAACAATTAGCCTTCGGAAAAAACCATCTAAAATGCACAAGAAAATCTTCTGTTTCAGTTTTGACGTACCTGGTGTTTTCTACCAGTTAGAGGGCATAGCTCCAGCCAAGTATAGCCTGCAAATGGTAATGAAAAGTTGAAGAGTAAAAATCAATAAATCTGACAGTAGTGACTTTACAGTTTCAAACTGATTGGCCTGTCAGATGAAACACTACGTATAACATGCTCATGTTTGTTGAAAACAAACATACCGTTTCTCACAAAAACTTATAAGATCTTAAATGATGCAAAATATTATTTTGACTGACCGTTGGATGTTTTTATCACTTTATACTCCGTTAAAGCATGTTGCGAGGATGCAGGCCTCTCCTTTATCACAGTGATTCTTTCTGACTTTCCATCTTCCAGAATAACCTGATTTATTGGTGAATCTACTTAACAAAAATCCGGTTCAAAAACTTCCTTGAAACCGCACATACATAACAAAACAAAGGATGGAGCAGTAGCAGAAGTAACCGTTAACAGATTGAATAGAACACAGCTAATGGAGCTTGGATAAATCCAGTAATTAGATATTTGAGAATAACGATAGATTAACACGTGGCTTATGTTGAATGTCATTCATCTTTTCAGCTTGCAGTTTGAGCAGAAGATACATAAAATAATCCTAGACAGAATAAACATGGGCGAAATGCAGATTTTGATTACGTCTCCATCGTGAAAATGCTCAAATTTAAATGGTTAAAAAAAACCCCTGACTGAAATAAAAGCTACAGCATTTTCTGTACAATGTGATTCTATTTAAAGGGAATGAACTGTAAAATTTAACAAATTATAAAAAAGCTACATTATTTTCTGTACAATGCAATTCTAATTACAAAGGATAACACACATAAATTTTGCTAAATGAGGTGTCCTATGTTGTACCATATTGTGTTGCTTTCTATTATCTTATGTTGTGAATCTGTGACGTGAAATAGTAAAATAAAGTGGACGGTTGTTTGGTCTAACTAGCTACTAAGATTTTTAAAAAATATTAGGAAATTTTGAAGTATTTCAATAAACATTTTTTAACACCGAAGTCGTTGAGTTTTAATGAAGGAAATACATACTATTACAAGATTACTATAATAGAAACTTAAAATCCTAATTATAGATTGTTATATGAATTATTGAAGAACCAAATTGTTAACAGGTTAATTATACGAATAATTATATTATTTATATACTAATTATTAATAAATGAAGTATTAGCTTACTAATCAGCATAATTTCATACAGTAAATATTAATTATTACCTATAATTTTCAAACCCAAAATTGAGTTAACCATGCATAAAGCAAGATTTTAAGACTAGATTTTTCTATTTTTTCACACACCCCTAAACGTATACAACCCCGTATATGCAAGGCCCTGAATCCAAGATATTTTGGTTGAAAGAAAAAGTTCTCAACCACTAGGCCAAAGTGACTTGTAGATTTTAACACTAGGTTCATGAGGTTTATTCGCACATTTAGATATTCATTTTCTGCAACATTTTAAAGTAAAATTTAAAATAATTTAAAAATAAATGCATTAAAAAAAATAATCAACATCTAACATGAATCACATAGGTGTGCAAACTTTAATTATAATAAAATATCAAAAGTATGAATGAATAGTTGCAAATAAAATTTTAAACTGAAAAGAGATGATAGCCAATCATATCAAGTTAGGTACTACGGTTAATTGAAGAATGTAAAAGCATTCTTGACAGCAAGGTTTTATTTGAAAAAGGAAAGCTTGTAAAAATTATAATTTCTTGCTTATTTCATAATAGTTAAAACCAAAACTAATTTGATCTAATAAAATAAGTTCATTTTAGCCAACAATTAGAAATCATTGGAACCACTCAACACTACTCTGAATATTGAAAAAATCTCACTGCTTATCTAACTTTGCAAAACCACTATGGATACACCTCTATTTCATTGATTCAACATTATGTTACCATTTTCATTGCATGTGGAGGTCTACAGTGGAGTATAAAGGCCTTTGTTTGAGCAGAACTAAATTTGAATACATTAAATGCAATTTTAGTAGTAGTAGCTCTATTGTATCACTGTTACTATAGCCAAAAAATTTCTACATCAAGACAGAACAAAATATATCGAGATTGGTTGTGATGATTTCATCTCAGAAAAAGTTAATAATGGAATAGTTCAGCTAGATTCTCACAAGACTTTAGATTATTAATATTCTCATCAAAGCATTCCCAAGAGTCAATCATGATGACTTAAATTCCAAGCTCAATTTGTACAATATATACAACTCATTTTAAAGAGGAGCGTGGGAATGTGCTAGTCAACATTCCTGACTAGGAAGGAATTTATTTCCTTCCTTCAAAATATATTTCAATAATTGTGTTTACTTTTTAATATATCTTTTTTTCCACTATTTCCTATTTACTGGGATTCCTAATTTTGAGACATTTCACTATTATATATATGTAGTAAAGTCTAATGCATAAGAAGAATGAGAAATCAATTTCTTTTATGATTGCTACATTATATTTACGACAATTGAGTGAGACTAATTCGTAATTTACTAAGTCGTGATTTGTGCAACTCTGAACTAGTGTTGGTGAAAATTGTGTCTGACAGAGTCACCCATCTCTATTGTATCACTGTTTATAAGAGGGGTTAGCTGGGGTGATAGAAAATGATATCAGAGTGAGTTTGAATGAAAGTAATGATGAAAGTGTGTTTGGATTTAAAAGTAGGAATTGAATTAAAATATGAATTGATCAATACTGATTGGATGTGAGGAAGGTAACCCATATTAATTGAGGAATAATGTATGCATGACAAAATTATTATTTAATAAATTGTATTGAATAACAAATTATGCAACATATAAAGATGCTTGAGGAGTGTTTGAAAGAACTGAGGAAAATTGAGAGTCAACCTTCTAGGCCAAAATGCAGATCGAGAAATGGAACCTAAAAATAATTCAAATATAATTGATATTCATAACAAGACAAATGAAGAAACAAGAACCATCGAGTTGTAGGGCATTGTCCAGCTAATATCTCAAATGGTTAATAAAATGACAGCTATTAAAAGATCTACAAGCATTGCGCCTGAATTTGAATATGGTGCAAAAGTTGATCTGCATTTGAGGATCTTTTAAACATTAAAGGCATCTGCATTCAAGGGTGTCAATGACCCTATAGTTGTTGAGGATTGGCTAACGAAAATCAAGAAGATTATTGATGATGTGATTTGTCCATAGAACAGGAAAGTAATGCAAGGCACTTTCATGTTAGAAGGGGAGATAGATAAGTGATGGCAGACACAACATAGACAGAAATTTGGGCTGACACCTCTACCACAAACTTAGTGGATAATTTTATAAGTTCTTTCAAGGATTTGTATATTCCACCTACAGCCAGATTAGCACAGCAATATAGTTTTTTTTAATTTGACTCAAAAGTCCAAGACAATTAAACAATATAAAAAAAAAATCACTTCTCTTTTCAGTTATGTGCCTCATTATATCGGCACCCACAACAAAAAATGTCACCGATTATTAAACATTCAAGAACTGTTGAGATTGGCATGGACTCCTTCTGACTTCAAGAATATTTAGTGTTGGTTGAAAGAACTAGAAAAATTGAAAGGAGCAAAACTTCTTCAGTCAATGGTGGCAACCACAAGCAATCAAAGAAAAGATTTTGGCAAGAGAAATAACCTTAAAATAAAAAGATATTTAAATTAGAAGGTAAGCAGAAGCTGATCCAACTAGAAAAATAAATTTGTCAGAAGTGGGAAAAATTATTTTGGACAGTACTTGGTCGATTCAAGAAAATGCTACAGATGTGGATAAATATGACATTGTCAATTGGACTGTCCGTTGAAAAAGAAAAGAGAAGAAAGACAACCCAAAAAGCTTTTGGAAGGTGGCTAGTCAAACAAGACACAATTTTTGGAAATGTCTTCAGTTCAAGCAAAAGGAGAGACCAGAGTGCCAAAATGAGAACCCAGTGAGACCGTGGTTACTGCACTTACCCCACAGGAAGCTAAAGGATCTAAAGAAGTTGTTACATATATACTTCTGATTCTAGATCAGCTTGACAAGTTTTATTTGATTTGGGTGCACCACAATCTTTTATTTCTGAAAAATTTTTTGTCAACTTATATGTTGATACTGCACTTTGATCCTACATTATATATTATCATACTATTCGAAAATAGTTTCTATACAAAAAAAAATCTTAAGTGCATGTTAATAATTCTGATAAAAAGCTGCTAACAAAATTGATCATAATACTAATTCAAATTTTTGATGTTATACTAAGTATAAATTAGTTAGTAAAATATTTTGTTACGACTAAATGCTGGAAAATGAAAGTGATGTTTAATTTGCCTAGTGAGAGGTCATTTTATTTCTCCTATGATATGAAAGTACTATCTTCTTTGATCGATGCAATAAAAGTTGGAAAGTACTTGCAAAGTAGTGAACTAGTACTTTTAGCAAAATTAGAAGAATTGAACTAGATTATGCACAGATTAAAGAGCATTTAAGTGGTTGCATAATTTTATGACATATTTTGTGAGGAATTGTCAGTTTTGCTGCCAAAACGAGAAAGTTAATTTTGTTAAAGATATGCAATCAATAACATTTGTAATTTTTAAATTTATATAGGATGACTCCGAAAGAATTACAGAAATCAAAGTTTTAATTGCAAGAATTGATAGATAAATGATTTATTAGGCCTAGAACTCTTCTTGGAGTGCTCCTGCATCATTTTTCAAGAAGAAAAATAAATATATGTGATTATGCAGTGGTTGTAGAGAATTGAATAATGTAAAAATGAAGAAAAAATATCTCTGTTTGGGATAGACAATTTGTTTAATCAATTGGAGGTCGCTATTATATTTTTTAAGATTTATCTAAGATCGAGATATCATCAAGTCAGTCAAAGAGACAAAGATAATCAAAAACGCTTTTGAGACCAAATATGATCATTATGAATTTTTAATTGTTTATAGTTTCATAAGTATCATTGCAATTTTTATAGATCTAATGAATTGAATATTCGAGCCTTATGTGGATCACTTAGTTATTATTTTTATTGATGATATTTTGATAGATTCAATTGATGATGATCATGCTAAGTATCTGAGAATAGTTATAAAGTTGCTAAAACATGATCAATTATTTGCAATTTTTTTTAAAAACAATTTTTTTGTTGTGAAACATTGCATTCTTGAGGCGTATCATTGGTAGACAAGAAATCTCAATAGATCCTCAAAAGGTGAAAGCTATTGTAGAATTGACTACACATAAGAATGTTACAAACATATACAATTTTCTTGATTTAGCTGAATATTGCAGGAGTTTTGTTAAAGAATTTTCCTAAAAAAATAAGT